ACACAGCTCAAGTTGCAGAAAACCACAACAAAGCCCTCATTGTAAGATTTAGCTCAATTACAACAAACATCCAAGTCCAAGCCTGGGAAGGTGTCAGTGGTCAAGGTAAGGACATCAGTTGGTATAGCCAGGGATCCTGTAACTTTCAACAGAGATGTGGAGAGGACCCTACTGAGGCTGAGAACACTGAACTGTCAGAGACCCAAGGGTTTGTCTCACCTGAAGCAGCAATCTGTGTACCCCACCTCCCTTCTGGAAACACTGTCTTTTCTGCCTTTGCCTGAAAAAATGAATCCTTCATTGTCTGCTAACCCAGTAGTGACTTTCCCTGTAAGAAATGCCAGGCAACCAAAAGTTGCTTCTAGATCTATAACCAGAGTTAAGGCCAGGCAGGCTCCTAGAGGGAAGGTAGAGAGGGTACCAGGGGGAGGTGTGCTACGCTACTAAAGAGCTGGATAAGTATGCTAATTCAGTCAAGCACAAGCCTGGGGAATGTGTTATAAAGGATGGGATAATAGTGGAAGACACATAAAACTGGATTTCCAAGAGTGGGTTGAGAGATGGCTTAAGAGTTAAGAGCACTGACTGCTCTTCCAGAGGATCCAGGTTTGATTTCCAGAATCCACATGGCAGCTCACAACTGTAACTCATACAGGTGGTACATAGATATATATGTATGTGTGTGTACATATACATATATAGGCAAAACACATATATACATATATAAATAACTATATAGAGATATAAAACTCACACTTATAGATAAAACACCAATATACATAAAATAAATTGGAAAACCTGGATCAGGCTAAATTTATTGATGGGACACCTGTGTGGAGATTCTAGGTTTAGTATGGAAGCTTGCACAGTTACAAAAGGCATGGTAGTGCACACCTTTAAACCCAGCACTGGGGGTGGGCAGAGGCAGATGGATCTCTGGAGCCTGACGCCAGCCTGGTCTACAGTGCAAGTTCCAGGACAGCCAGGGCTACACAGAGAAACCCTGTCTCAAGAAACAAAACTAAACTAAACTAAAGGTATTTTGGTAGTTTAAATAATAATGGCCTCCATGGCTCATACATGTGAATGCTTAGCCCCCCCAGTTGGTAAACTGTCTGAGAAGGATTAGGAGGTGTGGCCTTGTTGAAGGAGATGTGTCACTGGGGGTGGGCTTGGAGGTTTCAAAAGTCTATGTCAAGCCCAGCATGTCATATCATATTCTATGTCCCTCCTTCCCTGCACTCCCCAGCCCCTCCACCTATGGATCCAGTTGTAGTAGCCCTCAGCTACTTCTCCAGCACAAAGCTCCCTGCCACAGTGATAACAGACCAACCCTCTGGAACAGTAAGGGAGACTCCAATTAAATGCTTTCTTTTCTAAGAGTTGCCTTGGTCACCGTGTTCCTCCACAGCAATGGAACAGTGTCTAAATCACCTTTACGTAAATCCGTTCTACCCATCCTGTTCCTCTAGAGAACCCTGTCTAATACAGTTACATAATAGCAGGATGGGGACGTGAGACATGGGGACTAGGATGGAGACCTCGAGGGGCATAGGAAATGGGAGGGATAGTAGATAGGATGTGGAACTAAGGCCCACAGGACACCTCAGGAGTTAGTTGTCTCACCATTTGGCCATTTGAGCCTGGAGGCTCAGAACAGAATCTGGAAGGGAATAACTTGAAAATGGGGTGAGGCAGGAAGGTATACTGCTCATAAAGAAAAAATAAGGACAGGACAGAGAGCATCCAGGTGACATGGGCCAGGTAAGGGGGAAGAAGGGGGGCCTGCAGTATGAGAGTCCCCAGAAAGAGCTCACATGGAAAGGGAAGGGAAGGCAGCATGTATGCAGCAGGCTGTGACAGGGCTGGGGGTGAGAGGAGCCAGAAGTGGGAAGACTGAACTTGACTCTTTTAAGGATACTCAGAAATGGATACCTGCTACAGAGGAAGAACCTGCCCAGCCTCAATGACTGGCAGGCCTCTGCTACCTGCCCCACACCTTGGTACATCCTTACTTGTAACATGGGATTATGAGGAAAGGAACTTTATTTACTGCACTCTTACTGTACACTCAATCAAGGGATCTCCCTCCACAAATCTCCTCATGTAATTCTTGGAATAGTTTCACCAGGCTCACATTATTATTGTTCCCATTTTACAGATCACAAAACAAGGCAGATGAGAACAAAGAGGCATGTCACATTGAGAATGACTGCAGGAACTGGAGAGAAGGCTCAGCAGTCAAGAGCACTGGCTGCTCTTGCAGGGGCCTCAGGTTCCCAGCACCCACAGAGTGGCTCATAATTGTCTGTAACTTCAGCCCAGGGTATTTGACACCTCTGTCTCCAAGGGCACCTGCGCTTATGTGTACATACCCACATGCAGACACACACACAAACATACCTCTACACATAATCATTTTTTAAAATGGGGCTGGAGATACCTCGGTGGTTAAGAGCACTGGTTGCTCTTCCAAAAGACCCAAGATCCATTCCCAGCACTCATATGGCAGCTAAGAACTGTAACTCCAGTTTCAGGAGATCTGTCACCCTCTTCCAGTCGCCTCAGGCACTGCACACATGATGACAGGCATACTTGCAGGCAAAACACCCACACCCATAAAATTAAAAAAGAAACTGAGTGCAGCCGGTGAAATAAAACCCAGAGTTCAAGACCCTAACATCATGCCATTAAAGCCACACAAGACACTTTACAGCTTGCAGAGTGAGTATTTACATTACTTCACAGTGTCACTGAAGGGAACAATATGACTCACACCCAGAAAAATGCTGAGGTCACCACATGTGGTCGTCCCGATTACTGACCCTCCAGAGATGTCCATATCCTAAGCGCCTGCATGTGAGCATGCTACTCTACATGACAATGCGATTTGCAGATGAACTAAATTCCAAGATGGGGGGATGACCCTGTATTCGCAGGAAGGCCAGTATGACTGACAAGAGGGACCACATGATCAGCAGGAAGGCCAGTTAAAGAATGCTCCGGTAGAAGCAGAAAGGCAGGCAGATTAGGTGAGATTGAAGAGAGGATGAGCCACAGTTTGAAGATAGAAAGGCCCAGAAGAGTTCCCCTGATAGCTGGCTCCAGGAGCCAGCCCTGCAGGTGCCTGACTGGCCCAGCACACTGATTCTAGACTTGTGACCTTCAGAATGATGACATCATGAATCTGTGGAACACTAAGCCAGCCGTTTTGTCATTTGTTTCTACAGCAACAGGACCGCATACAGTCCCTTCCCCACAATGGCCTGCCTAGCCAGCCCTGGCTGCACTGCTGCTACAGCTGACACTTGACATTTTTAAGTGATTGAAACAGGGCTACCTCACCTAACCCTGCTTCTCTGAGAAGTACAGATTGAGGGGTGCTTGTATGGTTGAAGTTTCTCACTGGGCATTGGCCGGGGTGGGGGTGGGGTAGGGGCCGAGGGGGAGTGAGGCCTAGTTATTACCCTTTTAGTCCAGTGAAGAAACAAAGTCATAGAGTAGAAACAACCTGCCTAAAGCCACACAGATAGTGACAGAATTCTCCTGCCTCAGCCTCCTGGGTGCTGGGATTACAAGCGTGTGCCACCATGCCCTGCCCTGTTCATTTACTCACTCATTCCTGAAGCATTTGCTAGGCTTACTGTGTCCCCTCAGTTAAGTAGGGCATGGCTGGGAACCTAGTTCTACCCTTGAGACGCCTGCAGCTTAAAAGACAAATACAGACCTGTCCCCAAACAGCAAGACAAATGCTGAGACAACTGGAAGATAGTTTAAAGGGCTATGGGAACTCAAAAGAGATGATGCTGATAGTCTGGATCAGAGAAGGCATCTAGGAGGAGTGACAACTGCACAAGAGACGAGGACTCAGCACAGAAGTGTGGCCCTGGAGTTCCGCATGGAAGGGATGGTTCAGCTAGAGACACAATGCTGTAGCTTCCTGAGGGCAGGGAAGGAGTAGGGGTCCTCCCCAGTCTCTCTACCCCTCTGGGCCTGTGTTCCTGGCCCTGAAATGGAAGCTGCAGTATCTGCTGGGCCTGGGGAGGGCAGAAGGCGGTGAAGAAGGGCAAAGTGGGAGTGCAAGGGAGGCTGTGGCTCAAGCCCTCACCGCCCATCGAATCATGGTGTGAATGCGGTCCTCAGAGCCTTGGGGACCCCATCTGAGGAATAGAGCATGAGCCAAAACTGTCTCCAAAGACCCTCCCCAGCCTTGACAGGGAAATGACATGACACAAAATTACAAAAGGGTCTTTATTTATAAAAAGTCAAAGGGGCCCTTGGAGCAACAGGACAGGAGGCAGGCAGCTTCTCAGGGGTCAGGGGCATTTGGACAGATGCGCTTGAGTGGGGGGGCGCCCTCCGAGTCCTCTGTGTCACCCTGGGCTGCCTCAGGGACAGGTGGCACTGGCTCAAAGACAGGGTAAGCTTCAGGGGCCTGAAGAGGAAGGGCGGACAGGTGTGAGCTCCACTCTGACCCAGGAGTACAGCCTTCTAGCCTCTGCCTTTTCCACTCTATTCCCCTGGGGACCCAGAGTCTGGCCCAGGACAAAGTGACCAAAAACAATGCAACAAAGTTTGGGAGAAAGAGCTAGATTTTTCTGGAAAGTGAATCAAGGTAACCCTTGCAGGGAAAGGCAAGGCAGCGTCTTAGGCTGACTTGACAGCTCAGGATGTGTGTGTGAGATGCGGGCACCCAGGCTCTCCATGCCGCTGAGGAGAAGCAGCGCCACACTGCACTCTGAGTCTACATTTTTGTTTTCTGATCTCTGGAGGAGCAAGCACCATGATCATTTCAGGCTCTCCATGCTCAAATCAGCCATGGTCCAGCCCTCAGGACTGTGTCTCTAAAACACTCCTCTTCACCCAAGAATCCAACCTCAGCTAAACCTTTCAGTGGGTTCGAGGTCCACATCTCCCTCCTGGACCCTAGTATGCAGTCTCCCTGTGCCCCCAGACCCCATTTCTCACAAGGCCAGAGTCCAGCCTCTGGCCTCTCTCACCTCAGCTTCCAGCAATTCTGGAACAGGCTCCTCCTTGGTCAGCTTCGGGGGGTCATCAGTACCGCCTGCGGGTGTGCCCCCTGGGTCTGGAATGTCAAATGAACAGACACCTCCTGAGCAGCCACTCTGTGCCAGAAGAACAGGTTGGGGGGGGGGGGGAGGCGCAAAAGAAAGCAGGCACCAATCACACTAGACAACACTGTGGGAGCCAGAGGAGGACACTAAGATGCCAGGGGAAGAAGATTCAGGTTGGATTTTGTTTGTTGAGAGTGAGAGTGAGCCAGGAGACAAGCAGAGACAGAAGCAGAATTTAGGCAGAGGAAAACATATGCTTAATGACCACAGTTCTTACGTTACTAAATCTGAATCCTGGCCATCTTGGGCAAACTAAATCACCTGCTGAATGGAAACAGTGACAGTAATACCACGAGAGATGGCTATGAGGAAGAAACGGAGCAATACCCGCGTAAAGCCCTTAGAACTCAGTATGTGCTCTATAAGTGCTAGCTAGCATGTTCATTCACACTTCTTCATGGTATTAGAAATGGGGGTGTCAGACAAGCATTCTAGCATTGAGCTGCATCCCCTGTCCTATATCATTTTACATTAGTAAAGGTATCTGGAACCTGCCCACGTCATGGTGTTCTTGTTGGGGGAACAACTTCAGTGGCAATGGTTAATGAAGGCCTCAGTGTCAAACCAAAGGCCGGGCAGAGCCACTGAAGGAGAAGAGGCAGGAAATAATCATTTCGAATTTGCGCTTTAGGAAAAGCTGTTCTGCAGCTGTGTGGAGACCATTGGGGATAGGTGGGGAGGCCAGAGCAGGTAGAGATGAGAAATGAGAAGGGGGCCTGAGGCACTGAAATCAGCCACACTTGGGACGCAGTACTGACAGACAAGGGACCAACTATATGAAGACAGAGAGGCTGAAGGAGGGCTCACACACCCAAGGTGTTGGCTCACTGACTCTGTGAGTCTGGACATCTTTCTCTGGATGACGGGCTCCTCGTGTATAAAGAGCAATCATAATAGGATTCCTCCCATAAAGTGACAGTGAAGATTAAATGACAAAGCAAAAAAACAAACGTTGAACTGCTCAGAACACCTAGCGGAGAAGGGGGCTTTGCTAGTCGCTACTCTACTCTACTGCTATTGATCATTCCAATCATAAGAATTACTTATTCCCCAAACAAGTATTTACTGAACACCTATTATGTATCCCACAGTACTCTGATGTTACAGGAATGAACAAGATTGGTATGGCTGAAATGAGATGGTAACAGGAAAAGACAATATGCAATCAAAGAAATAAATTTGCATAAAAATTTCAGATGTTGACGTGCTACCTACAAATCTAAGAAGCCAGAGGACTGAGACAGCAGCTGGATGTAATTTCTGCCAGGGTCAGGGAAGGTTTGGGGGGAGCAGGAAGGGGAGAAAGGACATAGGTACAAGGACAAGATGGTGGGTTCAACTTTGAACAAGAGAGGGCTCTTGAGAGCCATCTGGTCTTACCTCTCTCTTGGCCCAGCTGTGGGGGCTGAGTATCCTCAGTAATAGCTTCTGGGGGTCCAGTCGGAGACCCAGGACGGCTGGGCTGGGGAGTGCCCCCAGGGCTGGGCTCAGTGCCCTTCTGCAGAGAACCTTCTGAATGGAAACTCTGGTTGCTGTTCTCATCTGCTAAAGCAAAAGCCAAGTTGGTTGGCCAGAGGGTCCCCAGTAGCTTCCTATCCTCCCCGTTCCAGGATCTGTACATACCATTGAGATCCAGCAGGATGAGGGGGCCACCCCCTCTGGGACTGGTGCCCCTGCTGCGTCTCTCCCGGCCACGGGATCTCTCTGCCCCGCCTCCTGCCCGACGCCTCTCCTGAGGGTTAGAGTGATAAAGTAAGAAGAGCCAGTTGTCTGGGGAATGCTTACAAATCTCCTCAATACAAGTAAGGAAACCTGGGCTCAGGGAAGCAAGAGGGGCTGTCTCAGGTTGTGTAGGCTGTTAAATCTTGAACCGGAGGAGGGGGGCATTGGTGTGTGTGTGTGTGTGTGTGTGTGTGTGTGTGTGTGTGTGTGTGTGCCCGCGCGCGCTATTAATCGTTACCATCTGTCTGAGTTCCACACTGGAGACTTCAAGCTGACTTAAGGTGGAGGCCAAGGTAGGGAGGGATATTGCCTAAGGTTGCACAGATGCAAGGTCTGTTGGGGGTTGGGCTTGCTCACCTCCTCCTGGGGATCCACCACAGGAACCCACTTGAAGATTCGAAGCGAAGTGTCACCCACAGTCACCCAGCGCTTCTCCCTGTGTGAGGGCAGGAGATTGGGTCAGGGTGGCGCAAGGGTGAGCCCCATGCAGCAGGGGGTCGGGGAGATGTGCTAGGGTAAGGAAAGCTTCGCTAACGGGGCATAGAAGCAGAAAAGGCCCTGCAAAGTCTTGTACACAGACGGATGTAACTTAGAGCCGCGGTTTTGCAGACACCTGGAGCACTCAGCAGGGCGCCACCAAGGACCCGGGGCCGAGCTTGCAAGAGTGTCAAAGCTCCAGGGGGCGGGGCATAGATGAGGGCTCCCGCTCTGGGAAAGCACCACTCCGGACCACGCTTTGTAGAGCTCTGGGAATTGCCAGGGGAAGGTGGAAGCCCAGTCGATTCAGAGCACAGCTGGTGGGCGGGGGCAGCTGGCCAGGAAAGGGCGGACGCGTTTGGAGGAGGTGGCTTGGCTGTGTCCCTGGCCCAGGGGCAGTGCTCACCATCTCCGGACCTTCTCGATGGTCGCCATCACCTTCTTGATGTCATCTTTGGCCCGGCTCCGGGTCTCGGCCCGCACGGTCCGGCCGGCCATGCTGGCGGGGCTGCGGCCGGGATAGAGCCCGTGGTGGGACGCCCTGCGGTCCGGCGATCTCAGGCGGCGCGCCAGGCCCCGGCGCCGCTCTTTCGGCCTGCCGTCCCTCCGGGAGTTGGCCGCGCCCTCCCTCGCTCCCCAACGCCTCCGCGCGTCCCCGCCTGGCTTCCTGCGACCGCGCCCCGCCCCGGCCCGTCCCCGGAGCGGCCCGGGCGGCGCGGGCGGCTAGAGCCCCGGCCTGGAAGCCCGGCCAGCCCCGCCCCGGCCCGGGCCCGCCCCTCGGGGCGCACGGACGCACAGCGCCCTCTGCCCGCCGCGGAGAGGGAGAACGGGGGCGGGGGCAGCTGAGCGCTGGACGCGCGCGGCCCGAGCGAGGCGGTGCGTTCCGGCCACGTGGGCACCGGGGTGCGCGAGAGGGACTGTCCTGGTGTGCGTCCACGGCGGGTGGGCGTCCCTGAAATGCTGTGTGTGTGCGCGCGTCTGCCCTCTCCAGGCTGTTTGCTTCTACGCTGCCCAACTTGTTCATCCATTCATTCAAGTCTCATTAACACTGCCAAGTGCGTGGCAGACTTTTGAGTGGGGAGCGGCCTCCTCAGCCAGAATGGCGGAAGTGAAAAAGATAGACCTCGTAGATGAGGTAGCAGAACAACTCTGCATTCCTTGAATCAGGGAGTGTAATTGGTAGAGATACTTGGGGAAACTGGCAGTTTTCCAGAAAAGCTAAACTTATTCCAGCCCGGTCTCCCTGCAATTCCAGCCGAAGAAATAGGTGCTGTCTAATTTTTTGTCTACTTGACATAAGCTAGGGTCGTCTGGGATGGAGTATCTTTGATTGAGAAAATGCCTCCATTATGTTGTTCCATAGGTAAGTTGATTAATAATTGATGTGGGAGAGCCTAGACCATTGTGGGCAATGCCACCCCTGAGCAGATGGGTCTTGGGTACTCTAAGAAAGCAGGCTGGGAAAGCCATGTGGGCCAAGCCAGTAAGCAGTGTTGCTTCATGCCCCCCCCCCCCCCCCCCCCCGCTTCAGTTCCTTCCTCCAGGCTCCTGCCCTGCCCTGACATCCCTTCATGATGAACTGTAACTGTAAGCTGAAATAAATAAACCCTTATCTCCCTAAATCGCTTTTGATCAGGGTGTTTATCACAGCAATAGAACAACATGCTTCTGTATGAACATCAAGACATGTGTACCAGAAAGTTTGTAGCTCTTTTTACAACAAGACCAACCTTGGAGCAACTCCTCAACAGAATGGAATGAAAAACCAGTTACAACCTGTTTATACCATAGACACAGACACAACAACCAGAATGACCAAAGTCCTGCTATGCCCAACAGTGGGGATGAGTCTTGAATAAAATAAACCAGATGTGACAACATGCATTGGATAGTTCTACCATATAAGTCCAGAAAACACACATTTATGGTGTGGAAGGTCAGGGCTGTGATCACCCTTGGGGGCTGCAAGGAAGTAGAAGGGGTTTCTGGGAGCTTGTCACACCCTGTTATTTAGTCTGTCCAGATATTCACTTGCTGCATGTGTAATTTTTCTTTTGTATATTATAGTTCACTAAAAGTTTACTTAAAATGAAGGCTAGTAATATGACTCAGTAGATAAGACACTTGCCACCAAGCCTGATGACCCCAGTTCAATAACTTGAACCCATGTGGTAGAAGAGGGAAGTTCTCTCATTTCCACATACCTTAAACATCATACACATGCAAATAAATATAGAGGGTTTTTTTTTTCTTTAAAAAAAAAAAGTAACTCTGACCAAGTGTGCTGGCTCACACCTTTAATCCTAATACTCAAGACACAGAGGCAGACAAATCTCTATATGTTTGAGGCAAGCCTGGTCTACATATGAGTTCCAGTCCAGCCAAAGATACATAGTGAGACCCTGTCTCAAAAAGAAAGGGCTGGGTGGTAATAGCACACAACTTTAATCCCAGCACTTGGGAAGCAGAGACAGGTGATCACTGTGAATTCAAGGCCATCCTGTACTACTGTACCCAGTCTCAAAAAACTGAAGAAAGGAAGGAAGGGAGGGAGGAACGGAGGGAGGAAGGAAGGGGCTGGAGAGAAGGCTCAGTGGTTAAGAGCCCTCACGGTTTTTCCAGAGGACCCTAGTTTAGTTCCCAGCATCCCATGTTGCACTGCCTGTTAATCTAGCTCCAGAGGACTCAATGCCCTCTTCTGGCCTCCAGCAACTCAGATGCACATATGTCCCTCAACACACACAAAAATAAAAAGGAAAGAAACTGAGTGCATCTTGGTTAATTTTATTTGAAGCTGACCATCAATAGATAGGACATGTCTGCTGTATTTGTGTGTGAAGGGTGTCTGCTAAGTTTTGGTGTGATCATATCCACCACCATGTCTGACAGCAAGTGGCAAAATCTCAGCTCTGTCACACCCACCTGCATGAATTATCTTTATTGCCTTATGCACAACATGGAAATAAATTCATGTGTATACACATAGCATTTAGGATAGTGTCTGACACACAGGGAATACCCAGTGACTACTGCTGGTTAGTGTGCGGTTGTGGCCACTGCTGACAGTCTGGCTTCAAACCTGCTTGCAATGAACTCTAGTAATGAATTCCTTTGCTCAGATGGTTTGCTCGTGTTAACTTCCTCACTCGGCCTTTTCAGTCCTTTTGCTCACAAGCTCCATTATCGGAAGTCTGAAAACAAATAAGGGTCTCTGTGCCAGAGCCCAAGACAGAGGAGGATCTTGGGAACCAATTGTAGAGACAAGTGTGTGCAGTCTTCCAGTGTCCCCTCAGGTTGATGAGCTGCTGTTTGAGTGTGACCTGTCTGAAGCCTGTGGTCACCTGTGTGAGAGCCTGGGTGCCAATGCCTAAACGTGTGTGTGTGTGTGTGTGTGTGTGTGTGTGTGTGTGTGTGTGTAGATGCCTAAACACATATGCATGTGGGGGGGGGTTGGGGTTCTGTAATGGTAAGGTGAGGGAGGGAAAAGGCTGTCTCACTCCTGATCAGAGTGACAGGAAAAGTGGAAGGCGTCTAAAACAAGAAGCCAGTCCAAGGGGTGCATGCCTTCGGCTTCGGTGCACCCTAATCTCGACTGCCCTCGCCTCTCTCTCTTTGTCTTGGCCCAGAGGAAGGACCTGCCTGCCTGTGTTCGGCTGCCAGCCCTGAAACTTTCCTCTCAAAGCAGCTCTTATTGTCGAGCTCTACCTCAGGTCGGAGCCTGTCTCCTCCTCCCAGCAAGACACCAGAGCTGCCTTAAAGGCCCAAGTACCCATTCGCTGTGCCAACACCTGCCTCCCCTCTCTGGCCCCTTCCCAGTCTAAGTCTCACAAGTGGCTTACTGAGCTCAGGGCCAAAGAATCTAGCCTGAAAGTAGTGATGGGAAGGAAATGTTTGTATGATTGGCTGAACCCAAGCCACGCCCCTAGCCCTTTCCCCCTTTTCCCCCCCTCCCCTCCTCCTCTCCGGTAGGGGTGTGTTGAGGGAAACCGGGATCGGCCAAGGGCCAACATGAGCCAGAGGGAGGGAAGTCTGGGTAAGGGGCTGAGTGATTGGATCCTGGGTCCCTGATGGGAATAGGAGTGAGTGGGGTGGAAAGCTGGGGTTTGGATCTCTGTCAACACCATCCCACCCCCGAGTCTGGGAGGGGAAAGACCTGGGGGGGAGGGTTGGGGGAGGGAGGAAACGCCGGTGTCAGGTAACCAGAGGGTGAGTTAGGAAAAAGGGCAGGCGCAAGGGTTTAGAGGAGGCCTGGACTTGATGCTTCAAGGGTTTGGGTTCAGGGGTTAGAGCACCGAATCTATGGGTGAGTACACCCTGAAGAAGGGTTGGGGTCGGGCTGGGGCAGGATAACAGTGCCTCTCAGAGTATTATGAAAGAATCAAAACTGAGGACTGGAGGAAGAGGCCGAATTAAGGAATCTTTTATACGAAGGAGCTATGAGTGACAAGAAGCCAAAGTACAGGCTTCTGAGATCTTGGTTGGAGGTGGGAAACTCAGACGGAAAACCTTGTCGGGTCGGGACTACATTCCCCAGCATGCATTGGGATGCTTGCAGTTTGCATTTTGGGAAATGTAGTCGTTTTCCTTTGGCACTATCCTCTAGTTTGTGCCAGGGCAGGCCCTTGATACATTGATGGTGTTGAGCCTAACATCTCGCCTAGAAGCATGAGGAAGGGAGTAGGTCTTCGGTTTCTCTATCTGTAGAACAGGCCGCGAAAGCGCGTTCCAACGTGAACTTCTGTGCTTCCGTGAGGCTGACTGAATTCAACCAACGGTTGGAGAAAGCCAAAGATACATGACTTCGTCCTTAAAGGCTCTTGGGATAGTATTGGTGGTATAGGGTGAGCATAGCTGCCTTCTAATGAATCTTCACGTGGATAAAAGAAGCTACTTTGGAAGTGAACAAGAAGCTGATTTGAGGGTAGTGAGAATCTGGAGGCAGCCCCTATGGAGACAGTTGAATTTGGTCTTAATAGGATTTCAACAGTGATTTGGGGACAGGAAAAACTGCTTGGCACCTTGTTTTCCCTCCACTGGGACAGACTCTTCCTAGTTTGAATGTTCGCATCCAGAGCAGAACCTCTGGATTCAGGAAAAGCCAGCTTAGGAAAGTTGGCTAAGGAGTGGGTTTGGGTTGCCCTCATAAGCCCTCACTCGCCCCTCTTTCCCACCAGAAGACCCCCAGGCTGACTCCTCAATCTCATTCCTTCCCCATTTGGAGGCCAAGATCCGCCAGACACACAACCTTGCACGCCTCCTGACCAAATACGCAGAGCAACTGCTGGAGGAATATGTGAGTAGAGCTAGGGTGGGATGTGGGCTGGGGAAGCACACATCACAGATGCCTTCACGGGTTTCTTCCGCCTCATCTCATCTCCAGCAGTGGCAATCGCAGTTTTCTAAGGGGAATGTAAACTTTCTTCTGGCCACATAGTAAAGTGGAGCATGCTGCCAGGGCCAGTGGCTCTGAGCCTCAGCTCAGAGGCGCCACCCTCTGTGCTGGAAAGCAGAGGCAGTCTGAGGACACAGGGGGAACTCTGGCAGTCAAGAAACCTAGGTTGGGGCTCAGTGTGATCTTCAGGTCTCAGCTCTGTAACTGTGACTTCCACATAGACATCTAGAGAAGCCAAGAAAGGGTCTCAAGCAGGGCCTAAAAATCTACATGAGGGGACTTTTACAGAGTAAAGGGATGTGCCAACAGTCCTGTCCTGGCCACATAAAAAGACTCCCCTGATTACCAAGGTGTAGTGGGGAAAGGCTGGTGTTTTGATTCAGGCGTACTGTAGGGTTGCTAATTTATGACCTTGGGATGTAATGGTGATATTAAAAAGGAATGTAGCAATGATAACAGCGGCAGTAATGATACAGCCAGCTTTGTAGACATACCAACTTAGGTCCAAATTTCAGCTCTGTTACTTCCCGGGTGAGTAACCCACTGCCAATCATTGTTTATATTCAGCCCATTTTTTAAAATGTATTCATTTATTTTGTGTGCATGAGTGTGTGGGCACACATGTCAGAAGACAACTGAAGGACCTGGCTTTCTCTTTTTCCATGTGGATCCCGGGATCAAACTCAGGTTGTGGGCTAGCAGCCATCACAATGGGCCATGATTTTATTTACAAAGCCATCTTCATCATTATCATCTCCATTTTTAGGAAAACACTGTACTCAAAGTAGCAACCACAAGGCCTGCGCCAAAGGCAAGGTATTTGAAAGGATAAATATTATTGTTAGAGCATTTGACAAATTATGTCAAATACATGTCTTTCATGTATTCTTTCATATGGTATATATCAAGGGGGGGGGGTGAATCTGACAGTCCCTGCACTGTTTCTGTGACCTCTGATAGAAAGACAGAACAGGGAACATTCTTTACTTTCACACATGAGAAGGCTGAAGCCAAAAGAAGGGAATGATCTTGCAAGAAGTCACAGCTAGTAAGTGACAGATAGGAGTTAAACCCAGCTCTGGGACTGAAGGTGTGGCTAACGGGTTAAGCGGCTTCTCAGCCAATTTGGTGACCAGAGTTTGGTCTTCAGAACCAACATAAAGGTGGAAGAAAACTGGCTCTATGAAGTTGTCCTTGACTGTCACATGTGCAAGGTGGCACCATCCTCCTCAACACATCATACACACACGCTTAAAAAATTAAGTAGGACACACACCAGCACTTGGAAGGCCCCTGCAAATCTCTGTGAATTTGAGGCCAGCCTGGTCTAAATAGCGAGTGTTGGGCTGACAAAAGCTATATTGAGACCCTGTCTCAAAATAAACAAGTAAAGCTGAGTGTGGTGGTGCATGCCTTTAACCCCAGCACTAGGGAATAGAGAGGCAGGCAGATCTCGGGGAGTTCGAGGCCAGCCTGGTCTACAGAGTGAGTTCCAGGATACTACATAGTAAGACCCATCTCAAAAATAACCCCCCCACACACACAAAATAATTTAAAAATAACTAATATTTATTATTGAGCTCTTCCTGGGTTCTAGGGCTTGTCCATCGGACCGTGCATACTCCCTAATAAGTACCTTATGAAACTGATACTTATTAGCTGTTAGAGAAACAGAGACAGTCGCTTGTAAACCCCGGATAATTTTTTGGTTTACTCTCAAACACAATAGGAGGGCTGTTAAGAGAGGATGAGCCCCCATTAAGGTCCAAGGAGCCCAGCTGACCGGTGGCCATATCTCCACAGGTGCAGCATCAGGGAGATCCCTTTGGGCTGCCGGGCTTCTCACCACCGCGGCTGTCACTAGTCGGCCTGAGTAGCCCGTCCCCGAGCCACGCGGGACTACCGCTGTCGGAGCGGCTGCGTCTGGACGCGGCCGCCTTGGGTGCGCTCCCCGCGCTGTTGGATGCTGTGCGTCGCCGCCAGGCAGAGCTGAACCCGCGCTCCCCGCGCCTGCTGCGGAGCCTGGAGGACGCGGCCCGACAGACTCGGGCCCTGGGAGCCGCGGTGGAAACGGTGCTGGCCGCTCTGGGCGCAGCAGCTCGCGGGCCCGACCCGGAGCCCGCCGCCTCCGCCCCCCTTTCCCCGGCCAGCAGCGCTTCGGGCGTCTTCTCAGCCAAGGTGCTGGGGCTCCACGTGTGCGGTCTCTATGGCGAGTGGGTGAACTGCACAGAGGGCGACCTGAGCCAGCTGGTGCCTGGGGGCGTTGCCTGAGAGTAGGTACTCAGTACTGGCTCTTGCAAGCTCGCTCTGTCCCACCTTTTTGGCTTCGGATTCTGTCTTCCCATCTGTGTCAGTGTGTTCTTCATTCTCTTTGGATCTTGTCTCCTCAGGGAACTTCGCGTGCCTACCAGTTTCTCATTTTTTTCTCTTTTCTTCCTGTCTTGAGTTTTGTTTTTTGTTTTTGTGTTTTTGTGTTTTTTTTTTTTTTTTTTTTTTTTTTTTTTTGTCTCCGAGAGGTTTCTGTTTTTCGTTCCTTGTCTCTTGTTCTTTGTTTGTTTGCTTGTTTGGTTTTGAGACACGGTCTCACTCTGTAGCTCTGAATGTCCTGGAGCTCCCTATGTAGATCAGGCTGGCCTCGAACTCACAGAGATTCACCTGCCTCTTCCTCCCAGTTTCCCCATCTGTCTCCCGATGGTCCATATGACTATGGAGGTGACACTTTCTCTTCCTTCAGTTCCTTTGTCCCTTCCTGAACAGAAAAGTGCCTGCTGGTCCTGAGGTGGCAAGGCTACCGTCATCAGGACCATCTCCCTGGTGTACTCTGTCCTCTCCGGTTCCTTTGGAGCCCCATCCTTCCCCCTTCGATGGCCTTCCCTTTCTTACCTCCCTATCCTGTCCCCAGTGGCCCCCAGCCCTAGCCTGGTCTATGGAAAACGAAAGACAGAAAAACTTCTTAAGAGAGTTTTATTTGAGAATAAATTAATTTTTGTAAATAAATGTTTAACAATAAAAACCATAGTGTAATGAAACACAGTTGTTGCAGCATATGGGGATATTTAAGGAGAATAGGATCTTTAGGGTACAAGAGGTGCCCCCCCACCCACAAAGATACAGTACAAATACATTCATGAAGGGCCCAGAGCAGGGGTACCACTTCTTAGTCCTGAACACAAAGTGGATGTCCTTGGCAGAAGATAGATGAGACACAAGTCCTAGTGGCTGTGATCGCTGGGCTTCTGTCCACTGGAAGTTCAATAGAAACCGTCAATGGAGAGGTAGACTGAGGACAAGAACCCCAGAAAAAGTGGCCTGTGTTCAGAAAGGCCATGTCTTTACCTAGGAACTGAGGTAGACAAAGACAGGAAGCAAACCCCAGGACTTCCTCAAACACAGGAATAGCAAAGTCGGAGTATGCCCAGGAGGGAGGCCAGCTGTCCTGTCCCTGGGTGGGAAATGAAGCCTCTTTAGAAGGGCTCTTCTTTCCAACCAGGATGTAGGTCTATCAACACACTACAGGCTTGTTGGTCCATCAATTGTATCCCTGAGTCATGCCCATATCTGGAAGGGAGTCTCTAGGACGTGGCAGGAAGGCCCAGGCAATAGAGTGGAGGCTTGGCTTCCAGGAAATAGTCCCAAATGCTTGGCACAGGGGTTCTAACTGCTAAGTGAGATGTGATGTGTTCTGTGTCTCAGAAGGAAGGGACCTCTAACAGAAGGCTGTCCTTCTATGCTGGGTACTTGGCCTTAAGTAAAGCCAAGTCCCTCACAGCCCGATCTGTCCAGTGACCATATTCCCGGGTCACTATGTAGCCTCGACATTTCCTCTCAAAGGCTGAGGCCCCAAAAGAGACAAGCCCTAGAGTGTCCTCTTCTGGGGGAATGGGCAGCCCCAGAGCGGTCATGATAGCAGCCATGTTGCCCAATAGGCCTTGGGCCCTGAGTCTCGCCGCTCCTAGCTGGGCCAGCAGAACAGGACTGCCAGGATTCAGATCACTCTGGTCGTCGCCCACAAGCTGGAGGTGCTGGGTCAAGGCCAGGAAGGCTCCCTGGGCTCGGCTTAGCCGCTCTGCATCGTCCATGGCATGCCAGGTCTTGAAGGAGACTGCAGCAGAAGGCAGGCTGCTGAGCTGCAGTTCAGGGGCTGCAAAGCCAGGGTCACTGAAGGGGCTGCCCTGGTACTGGAGCTGCATGAATGACAGACAGATAGAAAGAAGTAAAGTGACTGAAGGAGTTTCTGGGTGCACATCTTCCTCTGGGACTGGCATTTTCCCAGAGGAAGCCACCATTCACCACCCTCTGGGAGCTGCAGGGATAAGCAAGTGAGCTACGCCTCTATTTTGTCCTCTGTGTGTCAGCTGTGCCTCAGTGAATCACAAGGACCCATAGCTTTGAGTGATAATGTTGTACAATGATAGGAAATAATACCCATAAAAACAAACACAGCATCTGACATGCAAGGTGGGAACCACTACCTACTAGTATATGAATATCAGTGACCAGTATGACTATATGTTCAGTCCGAGTACATTATTAAAATATAACAGCTGATGTTTCTCTTTATTTTTTAATTTTTATTTAAATTAAAAACAATCTTATTTTGCATACCAATCCCAGTTCCCTCTCCCTCCCATCCTCCCATTCCCCCACACCATCCCCCATCCCACCCCCAATCCACTCCTCAGGGAGGGTGAGGCCTCCCATGGGGAATCATCAAAGTCTGTCACATCATTTGGAGCAGGACCTAGGCCCTCCCCTGTATATCTAGGCTGAGAGAGTATCCCTCCATAGGGGATGGGCTCCCAAAGTCCATTTCCACACTAGGGATAAATACTGGTTCCACTGCCAGAGGCCCCATAGATTGCCCAGGCCTCCTAACTGTCACCCACATTCAGGGAGCCTGGTTCAGTCCTATGCTGGTTCCCCAGCTGTCAGACTTGGGTCCATAAGTTTCCCTTGTTCAGGTCAGCTGTTTCTGTGGGTTTCCCCAGAATGGTCTTCACCCCTTTGCTCATCACTCCTCCCTCTCTGCAACTGGATTCCAGGAGTTCAGCTCAGTGTTTGCTATGGGTGTCTGCTTCTGCTTCCATCAGCTACTGGATGAAGGCTCTATGATGGGATTTAAGGTAGCCTCTCCACTATTGCTTAGATTCTTAGTTGGGGTCATCCTGTGGATCCCTGGAGATTTCCGTAGTGCCAGATTTCTTGTTAAACCAATATCCCTCACTATCTATCTCTATGTAAGCTGGCTTCAAACTCACAGAGATCTATCTGCCTCTCTCCCTTTGTTGCTGGTATTAAGGTGTGAGCCATCATGCCCAGCCTAGAGCCAGTGTGATTTTGTAATCACACTGGTGTAAAGAACAATGCAGTGGGAGAGCAGCAAACTCCAGGGTCACAGGACGAGGCGGCCATGACGTAGGAAGGGGCAGGGCTAAGACCAGGTCAAGTTTTTGCCCTGCGACTGAAATCTTGGTGCCTACTACTAAGAATGGAAACCAGCACCACATGGGTCAAGCAAGCAAACATCTAAGACTCAGAAAGCAAGTTGTCAGTTTTACCTCTAGATAGTAAGTGTGGAGGTTCTGCAGCGGAGACACAGACCTGGCTCCAGACACTGGCATTGCACTCACTAGCTCAGTGCCCAACGGCAAATTACCTACTTCTCTACAACTCCATTTTCTCACCTGTAAAATGGATTCAGTTCCACCTCTCGGAGAAGTGTGAAGGGGTCCATGAACCAATGGCATAGAGCCCTCAACATACACTAGGGATGGAGTAAGCGAGTAAGCACAGGGCATGAGGTGGTTCCAGAAGAATGACTGACCACCTAAAGTGACAACACACGTGAATTGTGTCTCTGGCTAAGAGCCACTGCACCCCCAGGCTCCCAGAGGGGTCTCCTGGACCTGCTGTGCTTGCCCTGTCTGGGCCAGCACCTCTTCCCCCAAACCCCTGTATTTGCCCAGCATCACTCACGTATGTCTGCAGCAGTGTTGACGTGTTCTTCTGCATGTAAAGGGCCAGGCTGTAGGCTTGACTGATGGGCTCTGATGGGGAGATAGGGGCTGCAGGGCTGAGGGGTGGCAGCAGGCTCAGGAGGCAGAGGGGAGCTGGTAGGGACATAAGAGGGTCAGCATTGAGTCCTTGTCCCTCTCATCACTCATTCATTCCAACAGTGTCTTTGAAGAGGACAGCCTTTGTAGCCTGTGATTTCTGTTCAAGTCAGACCAAAATTACCTGCTTGGCAGATTGTTTCATGCCCAGAAACCCTGCCCCCCTAATTGAGACAAGGTCTCACTGTGTTGCCCTGGCTGTCCTGGAGCTCACTATGTAGACCTGGCTAGCCTCAAATTCATAGAGATCCACCTGTCTCTGTCTCCTGAGTCCTGGGATTACAGGTGTGCACCCCCTTATGCAATTCTGGGAGGGTTTCTTGTCTGAACACTCATTAGAAATGTTCCCTTTATGAAAACCCATACAGCTATACTAGGCTACCCACAAGTATAACGTGTACCTTTCAGTATTGTTACTTTCAAAAAAAAAAAAAATTGAAACAGTCCAGAGAGATGGCTCATGGGTTAAGAGCACTGGCTGCTCTTCCAAAAGACCCAGGTTTAATTCCCAGCACCCACATGGTGGCTCACAACTTTCCATAACTCCAGTTCCAGGGGATCCAGTGCCTTCTTTTGGCCTTCTCGGGCACTACAACAATGAAATTAAAAACAACAAACAAACTTTGAAGAAAATCAAAAGATGTACCCAGAATCTAATCATTTCTCTCCTTGCCACCTGTAGCACTTCTGAGTAAGCCCTATCACCTCCCCTCTCCTTTGGTTTCTGTTCCCATCTGGTACCACCATATATATAGTCCCTCCCATCCAAGTATGTCCCTCCACTGTTCAGACATCACCATGCCTCACTCAGGGTAACCAGAAGTCCCAGGTGGTGTGCACTTTTCTGTTCCCTCAGCATCTTCTCTCTTTGTGTTCTGCCCACATTCCTCCCTCAGGACCTCATCCCCGCTGTGCCCCACAGGAACCCCAAAACATTTCCAAGGCTGTTTCCTTCCTGTTCTTCGGGCCTCAGCTCAGCAAATCCTGGCCCTCATATCAAAAGTCTGCCTCAGTCGGTGAAAGCACCTTCTAATCGAGGCTGACAAGCTGAGTTTTGATTCTCAGAGCTCTCAGTGGAAAGGAGAGAACTAAGTCCTGAAAGCCCTCCTCTGGTCCTTCACATCACACAACAGTAATAAATGCACCATCAGAAGTCCCTCTCCTGATTTATTGTCTTTGGAGACCTGTTGCCTACAATTACTTATTTATTTACTAGCTTGTTGCTATCTCTCCCTAATGTTAACCCAGGAAAGAGAACCCTTACCTGGTTCATTGCTGCCCTCATACAATAAGTATTTATTGAGTGAATGTAACAATAGACAGTCTTATTTCCATGTTGTCTGTCTCCACTGATCTATATAATCAGTATTTATTTAATATCTTGGCTAGCAGACAAAGAAAAGGGTTTCACTATAACACACACACACACACACACACACTTTATTTTTATTCACCCTCTCCTATCCTTCTCGCCCTTTTTAAGGTTTCTGCCCCCAAAACGTCCCCCTTCTGTTTTCATGTCACGTACATCCCATTGCTGTCTCTGGTCACTCTCCCCCTCTTTAGCCATCCATTCTCCTCTCATAGTTCCCGTCTACATTCATGTTCTGTACATATACATTTAAACTTAGATTCTGCATGAGAGAAAAATGCAATATTTGAATGTGGCTTATTTTGCTTAACATCATGATCTCAGTTCCCTTCATTTTTCTTGAAAATGTTATAGTTTTATTTTGCTACATCTGGATAAAATTTCATTGTGTGTAAGTATCACAATTTTCTTTTTGCCATTCGTCTGTTGATGGACACCTAAGCTGGTTCCAGGTCCTGGCTATCGTGACCAGTCCTGCAATATGGATGTGCAAATATCTCTGTGGTATTCCACCCTCCTTGTTTTGTTTTTGTTTTGGGAGTTTTGTTTGTTTGTTTGTTTGTTTAAGACAAGGTCTCCAGCCACACACCACTACACCTGGTTTACACGGTGCTGGAGATAACTCCAAAGCTACAGGCATACGATACAAGTATTCTCCTGATGGAGACCGGCAGCCCAGACCCCAGCATTCCTTTCGTGATTTGTTATTCATTTAGGTTCTTACTAAAGAATGCTCAGGCTGGCCCTGAGCTTTCTTTCCACCACTACTTCAGAAGCATCTGTGCTGATTGTTTTCCCCTTTGAAGATTTGCTGACATCATCCTCCCAAATCACTGATGCAGCTTGTGCCCCAGCAACAGTGTGAAGCTCACCCACCTGGGTAGGAGGAAGGTTAAGTGCAGATGGTCCCCTTAGTTCCTTTACATCCCTAAATTCAGAACCAATTAGGGCAGAATTGAAGGCAAGCAGGGCAAAGTGTGTACTTTTAACCACAACACTCATGAAGCAGAGGGGGACAGATCTCTAGAACTAGATCAGTCTGGTCTACATAAAAAAGCAAGCTGTGTGGTGGTGGAATTCCAGCATTCAGGAGGCAGAGGCAAGAGGATCTCTGTGAGTTCGAGGCCAGCCTGGTCTACAGAGTGAGTTTCTGGACAGCCAGAGCTGTTATAGAGTGAGACCCTGTCTTGAAAAAATCTAAATAAATAAATAGATAAGAAAGGAGACTGATAGTAGAAATACTTTAGTATTCATTCAACAAGTTTGAGTGAGCTCGTGTCTTCTAGTGTGCCATTATCATTTACTAGTTTGTTTGTAGCCAGGGTCTTGTTATGTAGCCTAGGATTGAATTTGCTATGTACTCTAAGCTAGCTTCAAACACATCATCCTCCACTCTCAACCTCCGAAGTGTTGGGATTACAGGCATGTACCACCATCCCCTTTTGTTGCCTGCAGCACAAATCTGACAAGGTGATCACCATCACTCTGTAGACGTTGTCAGTTCTCTTCTGTCTATCCCAAACCTCTGAACAACATAGATAGCCTTCTCTACCTGCACACATGTATTCATGCAACTGCAGGTGGAAAATTACATTTGCATTGGGCATGCAAAGATCTTTTTTCTCTTGCCTTGTTTCCTAAACAGTATAATATACCAACTACTTAGACAGTATTGACATGGCCTCAACTGTTATAATAATCTAGAGGGGGATAGAAGTATATAGAAAGATGTGCATAGGTTATATGCAAATATCACATTTTATATAAAGGTCTGAAGCATCACTGGAGTTTGGTCTTCACTGAGGAAGTCCTGGAATCAATGCTCTGTGGATACTATGAGGCAATTGTACCAGCACATAGTGGGGCTTCAATAAACACTCCTTGAATGGATGGTGAGTAAACCCTTCAATGTGTGAGGATGTGCAGGTCCCCAGCAGCTGCACAGGCACTGAGACTGAGCAGCAGGAGGTAGCTTGCAGAGTCTCCTTCCATCCTGGTTTCTGGGCCCTGGTGCCCTGTACCCTCACTCACCCAGCAGGCAGTACATGCTCCCTCCTTGGCTCCTTCCTCTGCAGTCTCTGGGTCTTTCCAGGGCACCTGTCCTCCTGTCCCTTGGGTAGCTTTATACCTGGTACTGAGCTCTAGAGCCGCCCAGGAGGGAGGGGAGCTACTCCCTAGGAAAGGCAGGCAGGCAGCAGACAGGGCCCTGGCAGAGAATGAGACAGACCCAGCCAGGGAAAAGGACAGTGAGTTTTGAGAGGGACCAAGACGAGGGCATCTATTCCAGGCCAACCAGAAGCCCCAGGACAAGGAATAGTCTGTGAAGGGGACACTAAGGTGACAACCTAGACCCCTACAGCCCCCAAACTTGACCTTAAACCCTGGTGGTTGGGAAGGAGGGGGCAAGGGCGGGGAGAGGATTATGGGGGACAAAGGGGCAGCCCTGCTCCCTGCTGCTCTGCACGTCTTGGGATCCAATTTCCCTGGAGGAGGCCGCCCCCTGCTCCGCCCATGGGGACCCGGGCATTGGGCTCTGGCTTTCAAGGAGTTTGGAAAAGGAACAGGAGGAGTGGTTTGGGAACTCCATGACCCACACCCAGGTGTGCCCCCTGAATATAGGAACATGCCCTGTGCAGGCAGTTTCACATGTTCATTTGTTCAAGTACTCGTGGCCTGAGTGCCAGCCTATTCCAGTGCTTGGCACAGGGCCTGGAAGCAATAGGCAAAAACCCCTGCCCACATGGAGCTTACCCTCATAGGCATGTCTGTATGCACATATCATATCAGGTGTGTACATATCACATAGCTAGAGTCCTAGACAGATAAGAACTCACCTGTACAGATACACATAGATATACAGACACATCCCAAACACCTGGAATCCCTGCTGGAGCACCTACGTAGTACAAATGTGCTCTTAGAGATGGTCATACATCTCACCTGCAGCTGTCTGGGGTCCTCACCCAGCCATATCTCAACCTCTTAGGAGCTCCTGTTCCTCTGCCGAGGTACAGTATACACAGACACAGGTGGCCTCGTGTGCATTCTCCTGAGACCCTCTTCCTCCCTGGACAGGTGGGAGGAGGCCGCAAAGCTACTTCTGGCTCCTCCTCAGAGCTTTGGGAACCCGGCCACCATGGGGCAATGCGATGCTGTTTGTTCGCTCTGTCTGTCAGAGTGTCAGCCAGATGCTTGTCCTTAACTCCTTTTAGGGTGGGAGGACAGTTCACCCCACCTCTCCCGTTGGAGGGTAAGGTGGAGAGGAAAGTCAAATTCATTCACAACAGACACAGTACAGCGCCTACTGTGTATGACACTGGGGTGAATGAGTGTCACCCAGGTGGAGAGAATCAATAATAAACACAAGCTGACACTGGAATGTTTCAGACTGGTGCGATAGCATATATTTGTAATCCTAGGAGTAAGGAAGGTAAGGCACAGGGAAATCTTGATTTTGAGGTCAGCCTGGACTACATAATGGACCCTATTTCAAAATGAAATTGAGTAAAATAAAACAAGGTTTCCTCAAATGCAAGTGGCTGAGAAGGCAAAGGCGTACAAAATGATTAGTTGGGTGGGTAGTGAGGTAAAATCGGCTAAGGAGTCCAAAGTCCAGAAACGGGTCGTTGCTTACCTGGGATCACACAGCAAAGCCCCCGTCCCCAGCGTGGAGACAGGAGTGGGTATTCCAGTTCTGAACTGTAGACTCAGATAGGAAGGAAGTTGAGGACACAGACAGTTCTGAGTAGGGGGTTTCTGAACAGGATGGGGGCTGCCAGATTGGCAAGTAGGGCCAGTGATAGTTTAGACGATGATGTCAGGGGATTAGGGAGGCCCATTGAGTGGGTGCACTGAGGCGTGGGCCAGGGCCATGGCAGTGGAATAGAGGGAGGAGGGGGAGGGGAACAGATACACGATCTGCACTACTCACAGGTGAAGGTGTACGTGGCCTTCACCCAGGAGGGAAGGCCAGCTCCCACCAGCCTTGCTACTGCCTGCCCCTGCTGAGGGTTTTATTTTCTCCTTGGAGCTGGAGGGTTTAACTCCCACCCCGGGCCAGCTCTTTTTGTCTGAAGTGACCCTCTTGGTGTTGGGGGAGATCAGCAGCTCTGCCACCCTGTCACACCCTGCCCTGTGGAGCTGAGTATCTATGGCAGTTCCAGTCTCTCTAGCAGCCGATCCCTTATGGATCCTAGCAGTTTAGGAGTTGGTAGGTATGAAAGTCCTGCCTGTGTTCATACTGGCTTGAGAAAGGTAATCTGTCTGAGGTTTGGTCTTTCCTTCTTTCCTTGCTTGTGATATTAAGAACAGAACTCAGCTGGGTGTTGGTGGCCTTTGATTCCAGCATTCAGGGAGGCAGAGGCAGGCAGATCTCTGTGAGGTTGAGGCCAGCATGGTCTATGGAGTGAGTTCCAGGACAGCCTCCAAAGCTATACAAAGAAACCCTGTCTTGTAAAACCAAAAAAAAAAAAAAAAGTGTATTTTTAATGTTAGTGTACATGAACTTACATGTGTGCACATGGGTGTAGGAGCCTATGGAGACCAGAAGATGGCGTTAAGTCCTCCTGCAGCTAGAACTGCAGGTGGTTGGGGCTTTTAAGGTGGGTGGGGCTGGAGAGATGGCTCAGCAGTTAAGAGTACTGACTGTTCTGGGGGACCTGGAATTCCCAGCATCCACAAGGCAGCTCACAACTGTCTGTAACTCTGGTTCTAGGGAGTCTGATACCTTTACCCCAATGCACCAAAGTAAAGGTTAAATAAATTATTTTTTTTAAAAAAAGCTGACTTTCCACCCCCCCCCCTTTTTTTTTTTTTTTTTAAGACAGGGACTCACTCAGTCTCCAACTCAACAATTTTCTGCCATCGCCTCTCCTGGGCTGGGATTATTTGACTATTCTTTCTTTCTTTCTTTTTTTTTTTTTTTTTTTTTTTTCTTAAAGATAGAGTTTCTTTGTGTAGCCATGGCTGTCCTGGAACTTGCTCTGTAGATCATGCTGATCTTGAACTCTAGAGAGCTGTCTGTTTCTGCCTCCTGAGTGCTGGGCGTGTGCCACCAATGTGAGGGAAAAGGCCAACTAAAGAAACACACCCTGAGCAGAGCCAAAGAAACACACTTTGGTCCTACAACCAGAAACAATCATCGTAGGGTGTGCTGATACATTATTTATGATTTATTAAAACTTGCCTGAGGATTCAGAAAGCAAAGTCAGCACACAAGCCATAGAAACCAGGCACACACCTTTAATCCCAGGACTCAGAATTAAAAGGAAGACAGATCTCTGTTAGTTCAAGACCACCCTGACTTACACAAGAGTGAAGAGTAACAGAGCTCTTGCCTTTGATCCCAGCACCTGGAATCACACACCTTTAATCCCAGGACCCAGGAGAGATATTTAAGACAGGAACAGGGTCTTAGAGCTGGCATTCATTCTCCAGCTATATTGATGATGGGAAGACATTGAAGTCTCAGGATTCTCCAGCCACGCTGACAAGAGGTTACAGTCTGAGGTTTGGTGGAGCCAGGATTGCCTTTAATTTTGAGGTAGAGTAAGAGCTAGTGCCCAGCTGCTTTGCTTTTCTGATCTTCAGCTTGAAGCTTGAACCCCAGTATCTAGGTCTTTTATTTATTGTTCAGCATGTGCGTGTATGCTTGGTGGGTATATATGCATACTGTGGTATGGGCACCAAGGTCAGAAGACAACTTTGTAGAGTGAGTTTTCTTCCTCCTTTATGTGGGTTCTGGGTGTTGAACTCGAGTTGTGAGGCAGGCAGAACAAGCTACTGTTACCGACTGTGCCATCTTGTTGTTCCCCAATGCTTTCACAAAATTTGATTCTTTCTTTCTTTTTATTTTATTTTGGTTTTTTGAAACAGGGTTTTTTCTCTGTGCAGCCTTGACTGTCCTGGAACTCATTTGTAGACTGCTGGCCTTGAACTCACAGAGATCTGCCTGCCTCTGCCTCCTGAGTGCAAGTGTGGAGTTTATAGGTGTGTGCCACCACGCCTGACTATTTTTCTTTCATGGAGATGGACACCGCCTATTGAGGCTTGCCTCAAATTTATTACATAGTTTAGGATGACTTTGATCTTCTGATCTTCCTACTGCCATTTACCAAGTGCCAGGATGACAGGTGAGTGACACCATGCCATATTTTCTATAGTTCTAGGTATCAAACCATCAAAACAGGATTTTATGTGTGCTTGATAAGCATTTTATCAGCTGGGCTACTTCCCAAGCCCTGATTGTGTGTGTGTCTGTGTGTGTGTGAGAGTGTGTGTGAGAGTGTGTGTATGTGTGTGTGAGTATGTGTGTGTGTGTGAGAGTATTTGTGTGTGTGTGTGAGAGTGTGTGTGTATGTGTGTGAGATATCTGTTGTCTCGCTTTGTTTTGTTTTTGAGGGCAAAGTCTAACTGTGGAGCCCAAGCTGGCCTCAGTGCTTACCTGTTTTCTCTGATACTTCTGGGGGATTTTATGTATATTACTTGGATACAGTTTTTGTTATTTGTCTTTTTGAAACAAATGGCAGAAGACCATCAACATTGTTCTGTACATTATTTTACTTTTTCACTTAATTTTTTTGCTCAAAATCATCTCATATTAGTTTGCCAACTATAATTATTGTCACATACCTTACTTTTACAGAAAAGTAGAAAGGAGCTGGGGGGTGTAGCTTAGTGATAGATGACTGCTTAACTCCCTGGGTTTGATCTTCAGCATGAGGGAAAGGATTTAAAGGGCTCTGGAGATAGTTCCTCGGTAGAGATCTGGGTTTCATTCCCAGGACTGGAAAAACAAATTGGTACCATGTGCCTGTATCGACAGCATTCAGAAGGCTGAGCCAGGAGGATTGTAAGTTTAAAGCCAGTCTGGGCTTCTTTGTGAGACTCTGTCTCAAAGAAAAGAGGGAGAGATGGGATTAAATACATCACAGGCCACAGGAGCAGGAAATATATACTTGTAATCCCACCAACTGCCCAGGAGGAACACACTTTTCCTATTGTAGTAATAAAACACTGTGACCAATGCAACTTACAAAAGGAAGTGTG